TGCTGTTCCCCAGAGCTGGATCAGGGCTGCAGGGGGGGTCTCAATGTTGTTACAAATGGCTTTGGACTGAATGTTGCAGTGTTGTATAGGTTTCATGTCATGTTTGCAGAGGATTCTGAAACCTGCCCAGGGAGTGTTGCAGGGACCTCATGTGTCTTTCTCTCCTCATGTTGGGAAAACTTAGAAAACTAAGGTCTGGGAAATCCTCCTTTGCATGAGAGTGGTCAGATGGTGGTGGCAGGAGTTGGGTGCAGGCTGCCCAGAGCCTTTGTGTGTGTGATTTTGAGCCACAAGTGGAAGTAACCTCAGGCCTCTGGTTCTGTGGAAGAAGGGACTTGTGTGAACTTTGCTTCCCTTTCTTTAGTCAGAGGCTCAGGGCTGCAGTTTGTGCCAGCCTGTGAATGATGGCGAGTGAAGCACTGGGTGGCACTGGAAAGGTTTGGGGATGGCAGCAGAGGTTCCCAACACGATAAATGGGAAATATAAAAACTTCCCATCTGCTTTGCTGAGCTGATTGCTGTTTTCTTGCATCAATTCCAGGCACATTCTCACCAAATCCCAACAGCATAATGATGACAAGATCCTTCATCATCAGTTCAAGCTTAATTACAGTTAATCAGTGGTTTGAGCACAGTCAAAATACAGCTATGTAGAAATGTGGAGAGGCTCAGGATGAGTGTTTTGGAGGCAGAGGATGGCTCTTCTCTTGGAGTGGGAGAGGGGATGGATGGCAGAGAGAGGAGCAGAGCAAAGCCTGTTGCATCCCAGCAAAAAGGGTTGGGATTTGATGTGCAGTTCTCCTAGTTTCTGATATGAAGTAACTTCTGGTAGCGTGAAAATGGCACCATTGGTCTGTGCTCTGCTTGCAGTTCTCTGTCCTGCCCTGAACTGCACCCTGGGGCTGCTGTGGGATGTGGGAAGAGGTGTCCATGCAGGGCTCCTGGTGGAGCAGGCTGTGCTGGGAAGGGAGCACATCTTCCACTCGTCAGCTCCCCAGGGGCTGACTTTTGCCACAAGATCTTGGTGTCTGGTTCAGTGTTCAACTGTTCACTGGTTTAGGTGTTGATCAGTTGCTTGTTTTTAAGTAGCAAACAGACAAGATGGAGTTATTAATGATTTCTGGCCTCTCCTTAAGAGCCACAGGGTTGGAATTGATTGTAGCTCATTGCTACATGGATGCTTGCTCACTGGAGCCAAGGTGGGGAATGAGGCCACCTTCTTCCAGGCCCAGGGTCTCAGTGGGGACAGATGCAAAAGCCTGGATAACGTATGCCTGGGGTGTTTCACCGTGTGTTTTGTTATCTTGTGTCCATATCCCCCCTTTGGTGACTTTTACCCATCTCTTGGCTAGGAACCAGTGGCTGCAGTTACTACTCCAGCTCGTGGGTCTTGCAAGCAGTGCTGTGGATGCTGCAGTGCCAGGTCGCTGGTGGCAGTGCAGCAGCAGCGGCAGTGCAGCAGCAGTGGCTCTGCAGGCTCCAGGCAGCTTTCAGGGATCAGTGGAAAAATTAAGAAGGAGCAAAGCATTTTTCCAATCAAAACTTGTGCTTCAAGCCCCAGTTGCTCCATCCCGCAGAGCTGGGGTCAGGTGCATGGAGCTGCTCAGAGATGGGGATCAGCAAAGCTTGATGGAGTGGAGGAGGCAGAAGAAGGGGCTGTGTCTTTGCTGATTTATCTGTATTGCATCCCAAGGGAAACACTGTTTGTTTTCATCTACTTTCAAACCTGTCTGCAGTGCCAGGACAGTGCAGCAGAGAAGCAGCTTCTGCAGTAGCTGTTGAGAGTAGAGGAGCCAAATCACATCCTAAACCTGCCTGTCTCCATTGCCTGAGAAGGCACCTGATGCCATGAGCTAAACAGAGGGTCTGCAGTGAAGTCTCACACCAAAATTCATCTTTTGAAACACTGCCTATTACTAAAGAACACTGAGTGGCAGCCCAGCAGAAAGAGACACAGGAACCAGCCTTTGATGTTTGGGGAAAAGCTGTAGAAAGATTTTGCTTAAATAATTATACCTGCTCCTGGCATGGTATATTGAACACTTTGCACACTCTCCTCTAATTCTACCTCGGGGTGTTTTTGCCCCTTTGCCCTGTGAGCAGCATCAGAGGGGACACAGGGTGATGTGGTTGTGGTTTGACTTCCCCTGGGCAGCATCACTGCTGCCGTCCTCATGCTTGGAGCATGGCAAACTCCAGGTATCACCAGTTCCTCCATTTGTGACAGCACTTAAACACTTAAAAAAGACTCTCTCATGCTCTCCTCCACTTTCCCAATCAGAATTAGAACTGGTTGTAATCATTGTGGGGATTTTGAGACAGCTGAATGTCTTGAGTGGAGGCTGATTTGAATGCATGATACCATGGGGCATTTCCCTCCAGGGATGCTGGGCATCACAAGCAGCTCTACCTCCATGGCTTTGGCCACCTGAGTGGATCCAACCACTTTGTACAAACCCATGTCCCGTCCCAAAAACATGTGGCTGTTTGTGGGTGCTTCCTCCTCCCTCTCCACCCTAGCAGCACCTTTGTGAGCGACAGGAGGGACCTGTCCATGCCCTGCAGGGATGCTAGCACTGACTCTCCACTGCAGTGCTCTCTCTTTCTGAAATGGGATGTGGGGCTGACCCCCACCTACAGGTATTTGGACTCAGATATCAGTTTTAATGGCCTTCACATCAGGAACAAGCCCTCTTACGGGCTGTGAAGCCATCCAGGGAAGGGGAGGAGCACCCATGGGGCAGGTGAGAGAGGAGGGGGCCTGTGCCATGGGGCAGCCAGCAATGAGGACAAACGAGGTAAAAGGGGACAGGAGGAGGGAGCCCTGGCCAAATGCTCGACACCTCTGGGAGAAGAGGTTGGGTTGAAGGAGCAGCTTCTGGGGTGGTCAGCTGCAGGCACAGAAATGGGGCTGCCTCATCAGCCCAGGGGCACAGGGCACTGCCTCCCCTCCCCTCCATCCCGGCCTCGTCCTGCTGTCACAGACACTCACAGCACATTCCAGCTCAGGAGATGTTGGTGGAGCAGCTTTGCTTGCTGCTTCAGCTCCCAAAGCAGAAGTGATGCTCTGCAGCGCTGCCTGGGTGCTGCAGGTGCTGAGCACAGCTTCTGGGCTGCTGCCTCTAAACTCGTGCAGCCTTTTCCTAGCGAGCAGTCAGTCTGTTGGGGGTCAGGACAAGCCCTCAAGACCCTGCTCACTACAACTGCTCTTCCCAAACCAGCCACCACATCTAACAAGAGCTTGTTTCTCTGTTTCTTGCAGTAACGTGGACACGGAGAAATTGTGTGGTAAGTAGAGTGATGTTCAGAGGGATACCCCTCTTGAGGGTCTGTGGTGGGGCTTTGTGCACATCTGATCTGGGCAATCAAATGGCATTTGACAGTCCCTGTGCCTCAATCCCAGCTCAGAGGGCATCCGTGCTTTTCCCAAGGGGAATGGGACACATTGTCCCTAGGGATAGGAGAGGACTCTTCATTCCAGCCCAGGTGGGATCATGACTCTGGGGAGACAGTGCAGGGCTGTGTGCAGGAGGCAGCAGGGGCAGGGCAGGCAGAGATGGAGGTCTGTGGTCTTCTCACTGTGCTCTTCTCTCCTGCTACAGATTATTTCTCAGCGTATCTTGGAGAATACAGGAATGTGCTTTCTGCCCTGGAAGCCCTCAACTCTGCGGTCCTGGCAGCCATGGACAAAACCAAGCTGGTGAGGATGGGCCCATGGGAGGGTCGTGGGGTGGGCAGGTGGCTAACAGAAGCTGTAGTGATTTCAGCTGCTTGCTTAGGTTCAGCTTGGGTACCAGAGGCAGCAAATGTACCTCCCAGATCAACTGCGTTGCCTTGTGTGTGCTTTGGGTGCCTCCATGAGCAGGGAGTGCTGCAGCAGCACAGCCTGCAGCACACTGGAGAGGGGGAGCTGTGCTGGAGGAGGAGAAGGGTAGACCTGGTGCTTTTGTGCTCCGGAGATGGCTTCTTCCTGCTAGGGCTCTGGCAGTGGTGGTTTCAACAGCTCCTTGCAGACCACTTGCAGCATCCTGCCTGGGGATGCTGTTTCTAGGAGCATCTCTGAGCCAAAGCAAGGTCTTTACCACCAAGCACCCTGTGTGAAATGGGGACACTGGGCTGACCCCAGCAGCTTGTGCTTTGCACAGCCTGTGCTCACAGCCACAGAAATGGGCTGTTGCATCTGGGGCAGGAGGGGGCAGCTCTGGGGACAGCGAGGTGCTTGGGAGCAGGTAGGGAATGGTGAAATTCACTGACTTGTGCCAGGTTCATCCCTGCAGTGAGTGCTCTCCCTTTCCCTGCAGCTTGTACTAATAGGAAGCAGATTGGAGGATGCTAATAAGGGCAAGCAGCCTCCTACTCTGTGAGCCCCTTGCCTCTGTGTGGAGAGCAGAGGTCTGCAGAGTGCAGCCTGTGGGCTAAATACCGCTGTGGACCAGCAGTGGCCAGCACTGGAAGGGACCTCCTGGACCCCCTTTGCTTCTGGAATGTGTTAAGTGGTTTAGCCATGTGCCTGGGGCTGATGCTGTGTTACAGCCATGGGAAGGGCCAGCCCTTGCTTTCCCTTCAATGGGGTGGTTTGGTGCTTGTGGGAAGTGGATGAAGGGCATCATCCATGTGCACATTGTCCTCTTGATGGGACAGAGAAGTGAGGGGGGATCCGGTCCCTCTCCCAGCTCTGCAGAGTCATCCATGTGGTGTTTGTGCCTTTCTAGTGTCAGTCAGGATCGTGCCTTCTCTAAGTGTTCCTCTGGCTAGATCCAGCCTCAGCAGCATCTCCCTGGTCATTGGGAAATGTTATGCCAGGAGAGGGAGTCACTTGAAAATGCATTTTCTCTTTGGCTCAGCTGCCCAGCCCCCTTCACAGTTATTAAATGTAAGCCCAGAGGGAGAGAATTAATCCTCTTCAGAACATTGCTTTATTTATGTTCTTTTCTGGTTTGTCCTTTTTGATAATGAATCTATCTATTTATGTGTATCTCCAAAGCACAGTTACTGTCTGCCTCACAGTATTGCCATGATGCATTCATTCCCTTCGTAGTTTCTGGTGCCACAGGTGTTCCCTGGAAAAGAGAAGCAGGTTTTCCCTGTTGAAACAGATTTTCGTGGACCCACTTTTCCACCCCTGTTTGGATGTGCTGGATGCAGGAGCCAGGGCAGCCTCATGCTTACAGTGCTGCTCTCACCAGGGTGAGGGCTGCTCTGATCCCTGAGCTCCTGGGTGCTCCAGGGCACATACTGGCCTCCTGGGAAGCATCTCCCTGTGCTTCCCTGGTCTGCTGGGCTTGGAGCAGGGAGCAGGAGGAGAGTTCAATGCTCCAAGCCTGTGGTCAGGGCTCTTGCAGAGCTGTGGGAAATCCACGGCTGTAAGGGGCTGGCAGAGGTGATAAACGCTGTGTTCTTACCTGCTGTGACCTGAAGAGATTCCCTTGTTTGTATTTCCAGAATGGGACTTCATCTCGGGTTATTATGGGATTAGTGGGTTTATTAGGTTGGATTTTAGCCAAAGCTCACACCTCTCAGAGCCAGGGGAGGGGGCAGAGAACAGATATTTCCCATAGTACATGTCAGTCTCTCACTTCTGTTAATTCAAACACCTCTAATGCTGCCATGGCTGAGCACCGAGAGCCCCAGTTTGGCAGACACCTCCCTCCTCTCTCCAGGAGCAGATGCCTGAAGCTTCGTCCTGGGGAGCAGCTCTTACTGGAGGTGCAGCCATGCTGCGTGCTGAGCAAACTGGGAGAGACCTGCCTGCTCCAACAGCCCTCGCTACAAAGCTCTGCTTCCAGAGCAGGGCTGTGGAGCCAGCAGATGTGGATCTGTAGTCCACAGGTAGTGGACATCTAGGCACATATGTTGGCACATATATGGAGTCAACAAATGTGGGTAGATGTGGAGCCAGTAGATGTGGCTCTACACTCCCTGCCTGGTTTTCCTAGGCTGTATTTAAGAGGGCTCTGCATGACTTCTGAGGAGGCAGGGATACCCAGGCCAGCTAGAAGGAGAAGTAGTTCTCTGCTTTGAACTGGGTCTCACCAGTTGAACCACAACACCTCTTGGTTAGGACATGATGCATCTGGTAGTTCCTTACTTCTGCTGCCACAGGATTGCTCACCCCTGCATCCTTCAGGTACCTTCCTCACAGCTGTAAATAGGCTCATGTAAATAGGAGCTCACTTTACAAGCAGGAGATCATGGGCTGCTTTGTTAGCACAACAAAAGCAGAGCGTGGTTGATGCTCACACCATGCCAGGACAATGAGCTATGGGGAGGAGAGAGAAAGAAAGCTAAAGCATGGGAAACACAGGCCAGGTTCATCCTTCTCACCATGTAAGTGCTGCTATTCCTGTGGGAAATAGTGTGTGTGTGGGCAACAAACCTGCTCATGGTCTTTCTTATGGCTCCACAGGTTGGCAGGAGGAAACCAGATCATTAGGGGTTCCTGTGCTCCCATCCTTCCTCACTGGGCTGGTAGAAACATGGTAAAGGAAAGATGCAGGTTCAAGAAAAGGGTTTTTTCTCCAGATTGTGCCATTTGCACTTATTTGTAAAATACAGGTTGATTGCTGTGCTGCAGGGCACTGATTAAAGCTGATCGTGGGGTTAGACTTTGTGTTTGCGGTATGATAACGTCCAAATAAGAACTGAATAGAAGAGAAGCTGCGTGGAGACCTCAGAGCAGCTCCAGTGGCTGAGGGGGGCTACAAGGATGCTGGAGAGGGGCTCTTCATCAGGGACTGTATCGATAGGACAAGGGGTGATGGGTCCAAACTGAAACAGGGGAAGCTCAGGTTGGAGATAAGGCAGAAGCTCTTCCCTGTGAGGGTGCTGAGGCGCTGGCACAGGGTGCCCAGCAAAGCTGTGGCTGCCCCATCCCTGGCAGTGTTCAAGGCCAGGTTGGACAGAGCCTTGGGCATCATGGTTTAGCGTGAGGTGTCCCTGCCCATGGCAGGGGTTGGAACTGGATGAGCTTTAAGGTCCCTTCCAACACAAACCATTCCATGATTCTATGAGTGGTGGAAATACCTTGGGAAAGGGTCTGACATTTCTCAGAGAGGACCTGTACGCTTAAGTCTTTCCATTCTCCACTTTGCAGACACTGCAAATTAGCCCATAAATACCTCTCCAAGTCTTACTTCTCCTTTGGCAGGAGGTATGCAGTCACCTATTCCATTCTGTCCCGAGCTTAATGATCATCATAAGAAACTAATAAAACCTCTCAAAAGCAGAATTACAGCAGCTCTTGGCAACTTTGGGGCTTTCATCTGGGTCAACAGAGCCGAAATTCCAGTCCATGACCAAAAAGCCTTGTCTCGTGCTTGTGGAGTTATTTCCTCCCTGACTCCTTTCCAATGGTCTTTGCTGTGAGCAGAAAATGCTGTGCTCAGTGAGACAGAGCACGTTTTTATTGAGCCTCTGTTACGGAGGGGTTTGAAGTGTGGGTGCAACACTTGGCTTGTTCACCCCAAAGTGAGGAGGGGACCAGGCAGCAGAGCTGGAGGGAAGGCTCATTTTCCAATGGATTCCTCCCCTGGCATGAGATTTTCCAAGTGGCTGCAGGCGGGTGAAGCAGCATTTGGGGTTCTCTGGAGAGGTGGTTATTTCCATCCTCTCTCGGGCATGTTCCCCTGGGTGTGCTGTGTCTGTCGAGGCGAGAGACAGGAGGCAGCTGCTCGTCGTGTGCAATGCTGGACCCAAACACTGATGTGTCCATGTAGGATCCTGCTCTGCCCTTGGAAGTGGGTTGGAGTGTGCTGGGAGCGAGAGGATGGGGAGCTTCAGAGCTGAGTCCCCTCTGAGCACAGTGTGCCCTGGGCTGGTAGTTTGGGTTTGGGGGGTGGCTGGTGCCTGTGTTTGGGGTGCAGGGACTGCAGTGGGGTGAGCTGTGGGGCTCGGGACAGGTAGTGAGAGCAGCTGCCTGCTCCTGTGATAAAGCTCT